GGAGATGATGCTGCTGGTGGTGGTGGAGGTGATCATGGTGACGATGCTGGTGACAATGGTGATGATGCTGGTGACAATGGTGATGATGCTGGAGACGATGGTGCTGACAATGTTGACGATGGTGGTGATGATGATGGTGACGATGGTGATGATGATGGTGACGATGGTGATGATGATGGTGACGATGGTGATGATGGTGACGATGATGATGGTGACGATGACAATAACAACGATGATGATGATGATGACGAAAGTGACTACAACAATAGTGACAGTGACCAGGATATCGACAATCACTTGGAGTTCGCTGATGACAATGAAAGAGAGGAATATGTCAAGGACGGGGTTACAAGATGGGCCCTGAATTGTGGAGATCTTTCCATGCGTAAGCTTGATAAATTGCTTGCCATTCTGAAGCCAGTTCATCCAACTTTACCCTTATCATACAAAACCCTTCTTCGAACACCAATCAATGTGGAAGTAAGAAATGTTCCTGGGGGCCAAATCTGGTACAAAGGTATCCAAGCTAACTTAGACAGTTTAGATCTAGTCTCATATCTGGACAAATATAATAGTATTGAGATTGATATCAATGTAGATGGATTGCCTCTCTTCAACAGCTCACGCAAGAGGTTTTACTGTATTTTGGGAAAACTTGTAGGCTCCAAAAATCAGCCTTTCATTATTGCTATCTTCCTCGGAACTGTAGATCCGAGTCCCAATGACATTTTGCAAGAATATGTTGAAGAATACAATCGCCTCAGAGAGAATGGTTACAATAGCAGAGGGAATAATTATGAATTTAAAGTCAGACATTATATTTGTGATGCAAAAGCAAGAGCCCAAATTAAATGCATAATAGAGCATGGGGGCTACTTTGCCTGCGAAAAGTGTGAAGTTGAAGGTGAATGGATTAATCAGCGCATGACATTTTGTGACTTAGATGCACCTCCTCGGACTGATCAGTCCTTCAGAGATCAATCACAAGAAGAGCACCACACTGGTGTGTCCCCCTTAGATGAAACTGACTGCGGCTTTGTCTCTCAGTTTAGACTTGACGGATTACACCTGATTTACCTTGGTGTATACAAAAGATTACTTTCTGCTTGGCGTAGTTGGAATGGCCCTTATAGATTACCTGCAAATGTTGTTGATCAGATTTCAGAGAAGCTTAATATGCTGCGTGGTTCTTGTCCATCAGATTTTAATCGTAAACCAAGGTCATGGCTAGAATTTTCTTATTTCAAAGGCACAGAGTATCGAAGGTCATTATTGTATGATGCTGTTCTGGTTTTCAGAAATTTAATTAATAATAATGTTTACAGGCATTTTCTGCTACTTCACTGTGCTATCTATATTTTGAATAGTCCTGTGCTATACTTGACCAAAAATGGTGTTGCAAAAGAGATGCTAAGACTTTTTATTACCCATAGTATTGAAATTTATGGCCGCAAGTTTGTCAGTTATAATGTGCATTCTTTAATCCACTTAAATGATGAGTGTGCCCTGCATGGTCCAATGGATACCTTCAGTGCTTTCTCTTTTGAAAACAGATTGAAATCTCTTAAATCATCACTTAAATCTGGCTATGAACCATTGAAGCAGGCTGCCAATAGGGATTTAGAAAGACCAGTATCAATTGTAATTCTTGACGTACCAGACAATGAAATTCACCTTGCACGAAGCCATTACATAGAGGAGGAAATTGTTCCTGGAAAACAATTCCGATATCTTTGTGTGAATGATGTGGTTTTTAAACCAAATAATAGAGATTCATGCTTTGTTACTAATGATGGAGAAGTAGTTGTGTTGCACAATATTGTCCAAAGGGGCAATGAAATATTTTTTGTAGGCTACTCCTTCCAAGTTACTGGCAAATGCCTATGATTACCCTATTCCATCATCTGATCTGGGAATTGTGATGGTTTCACGGCTGGGTGATGAAAGGAGAGCTTTTCCTTTAACTGATGTGTACGGGAAGTGTTGGCTGATGCCAGATGGGGAAGATTTTCTGTGCTTTCCTTTGCTACACACTCTCCCTTTATTTCACTAACTTTTGGTTTGCATGGCTTCTTAATTAGTAGTTGCTGCTTTCTGCAGGTATGCATTTACTTGTGTTTAATTTCAAAATGTCATTTATCCATAAATGTAATTATATTCATTAATTTAAATACTTATATATATCTTGCCTATTTCTTATTGCAAAAATTTGTAAAACTCAGAAATTTTTGCTGCTTATTTTGTCTGAGTACTAATCCAATCTTTTTTTTTCCAGTTTATTGTCTTTAAATTTAAATGATGATGAGGCGAATTATGATGTGGGCCACATAGGCTGGCTGGTAGATGGGCCAGATAAATGTATGAATGCTACCTTGATGTGGCCAGAAAATGACGCTGATGCTGGGCCCTTGGTTCGTAGAGAAGCTGCACCTTTACCCAACTGGAAACCCACACCTGTGCTGGTGAAACGATATTATGGTAATCTAAAGTTCTCATTAACACATTGAACTCCTTATTGTTGTTATTTAAAGGGATTCTTGACCAAGTCTTAACACATTGTTTTGGTGCAGGTACTTATATTGAAGCAATTAATGGGTGTAACGCTAGAATTGCTGATACCTCAGATGAAACTTAGGAAGAGCAGGGTAGGGTTCAGGAGGAAGAGAAGGCCCGTTTTTTTATATTTTCTGAAGAAAAACATTCTAAACCACCTCCAAAAAAAAACTGAAGAAGGTCTCAGCAAGAGTAATAAGAACTCAAGTGCAAAAGCTAAGCCGTCTGCTGTTCCTGCTCCACCTCCCATTCCATCTACTTTGGCACCACAACCACAGGCTTCCTCTTCGAGCATTTCTAATAATGCTTCCAAATCAAGACCCTTGAAGATAAATGTTAGTATGAGAGTGTTAAACCTGCTGTGCCTGTGAAGGCAATTTCCAAGGGAAAAGCTAGTTGTAAGAAGAACCCTGGTCTCATTGAGGTTGGCAAGACTGATAAAAACAAAGTAGCGAATGACCTCATCACCAAAATAAAGAGGGTTATTGAAGCCAAAAAACCAAAACAAATTGACATTTTGTCAAATCTTCAAGAGTGTCATAAACAAAAGCTTTGCAGTAGCACTACAGGTAATTATATTGTTCATTTAGTAAAAGTTTTGCTCAATGTATCATTTGTGTTTACTGGTTTTCATGTTGTCTTATAGTTACGACCCCAAATGAAACTTCGAACAACCTGGTTCTAGCCAACAAAAGTTCTCCCAGCACCACAGGTAAATATATTGTTTATCTACTGATGCATTTGCAAACTGTGCTCCTTTAATATACATTCTTCGATGTTTCCTAGTTGTGAGCCCAAAAGTAAGGACCAACATCTCATCCACCTCTAGAGGTAATTTTATTGACAAGGTTCAGTTTTTGTACATTTTCAAATTTTAATCTGATCTTTTATTTCTGTGCTGTCTAGATGTGCTACCAAATTCAACAGATGTTGATGGCCCCCAAAATCAATTTCAACCAAGTGATTCTGAAAGTAATCACAGTCTTTATTTTGATGAGGATGATGGATTACAACCAAGTGATTCTGAAAATATTCTCAGTGGTTCAGAGGTGGATGGTGCTGTCAAAAAGCAAAAAGAGACTGATGACGACTCTAAATCTCATTCAGAGAACAGTGGTCATGATAGTGATGTGCAGAGTGAGGGCCCACACTCCACTGGATCTGATTCTGTAGGTATGTGTGAGGTTTATCATACCAAGGTTCTGATAAATTTGCACATCAGGAATTATTAATCTCTGTTCTTTATCCGTGTAGTTATTCTGGTTTTGAGAACACTCCTCTATTTCAGACGAAGCTGTCTCACCTAACCTTTACAGAAAATTAATGAATCGTGTCCGTCAAGTTGACAGCAAGGTTGATATTGTGGGTTGGAATCTTACACGTCTGGTTAATGCTATAATTCCTGGCGAACGGGTTGTGGAAAGGCCACCAGGGCTTCCAAATTTCCCAGTTGGTGTAAAAAATCTACATATTATGGAGTCATTCTTGTCAGACTCAAACAACCTCAATGCAGCAGTAAGCAATGAATATTATGTATAGTTTCTTTTGTTGTTTGTGTTAAGAAACACCAACGTAAACCTTCGCACACCTCTAAGACAGATATTCTAATTTTGGATATTTGAACCCATTTTTTAGTATTTTACTGATTCACCAAGGCTTACATTTGTGTTTGAGGTACTGTCTTAGCTAAATTGTATCTGCCACACCTGGTTTTTTAATCAAGGCCTTTCTCTACTTCTATGCATACAGGCCAATTACTTTAGCAAGTTTGTATTCTCAGATAATTTGGGCAAGTCAGTCAATAAGCTGATGTTAAAATTAGTTGACAAAAGTATTCTCAAAGCCTACACCTTCAAGGGCCGGGTGGGAGAGAAGAGGCAATTTGAAAAATTAAATTTGTGGAGTCTCATACTAGGTAAGGGTAATTTTCTAGTATTATAGACTTTGTTTTTCTTTCTTCTTATTCTTATCTTTTTAAAATTTGAATTAAATTAAATTTTTTCAACCTGTTACAGGTGCTCTCACAACTTGCTTCAATGCACATGATCTGAAAGAAGCCCCAGCATTAGCTGGACGTTGGCTGAGTGTGAATGCATATACGGGTAAGAAGAAAGAGAAGACTGCAGCAACTGCTGTTGTTGCTGATCAGCCCCAAACACCAAAGAGGAAAACGAAGAAGAAGAAGACTAAGAAAAACATTAATTAATTAGTTATGGCAGTTCACTTCATTTTTTTTTATTTTGTTTTGTATTTTATTTTTGACATGAATTCCATTGATCTCAGTTTCTTTTTATTATTTTGTTTTTGTTTTGTTTTGTTTTGTTTACCAAAACGTTGAGTCTTTGGGCTCCTCCTTCCTAGTTCCTTGGCTGTGATGTTACGTTTAGTTTTAGCTCAGATAGTATAGCTTCTAAAATATGCAAACAGCAAAGTTTTGATTTGTTTTGTTTACCAAAATGTTTAATGAGTCTTTGGGCTTCTCCTTCCTAGCTCCTTGGCTGTGATGTTACATTTAGTTTTAGCTCAGATAGTATAGCTGATAAAATAAGCAAACGGCAAAGTTTTGTTTTGTCTGTTTACTTAACATTTAAAGAGTCTTGAGCTCCTCCTATAGCTCCTTGGCTGTATTGTTTCTTTTAGTTTCATTTATTTTAGCTCAGATAGCTGCTAAAATATGCGCGAATAGCAAAGTTTGTTTTGTTATGGGCTTGAAATTCAGAATATAATGTCATGCTCTCATACTGCATTATTATTGGCTAAACTACCCTCTTCAATCCAGTCGGGGAAGTCCGACACAAAATCGATACACAATCGACAAGAGATGCTCTTCAGTGGCCGACCTCGAAACGATGTCGAAACGATGTCGTAACGATGTCTGTTTCAATATCGGCAACGTATCGATCCGATGACCACCTCCGCATCGAATCGATGCCAAAATCGACTAAAAAATCGATCTAGAAATCGATGTCATATCGACGTGTTTTCGACTTTCCATTTCTCACTGGGATGTACCTAAAATAGTCCGATGGGTCCTCCAAATGTGCATTGCCGTTACGCATTAGGAAATCTGGAATGACTGCTCGAAAATAGCAGTCCTCCCAACTCAGAATACTCCCCAGAACGACCATCATTCGGATCTAAAAAAATAACATATTTCACGATGCGTTCAGATATTAAGTATTACACAGTATTGCACAGGGGCTTACTATTTGATGCTGCGGCCTGATTTCATTTTACCAAGTATCGAAATCTGGCCAGGACTGAAACACAGTCCCATCAGCGCGTCTAGGAACTTGCCTAAGAAACCACCTATGCGGTGGCACAGAAATCTTATCCCATGACCTTTTTACTGTTTGCACTGTTAAAGTCTTACGAAGAAAAATGCCAAATCCTTTGTAATACGAAGGATTTGGACGCTTCGTAGGGAGCAAATCCTTCGTAGGTACGAAGCATTTGGCATTTTGCTTCGTGAGACTTTAACTGTGTGCAAGAGAACTTTATGCCTGTACGTAATTTCTTCCTGCGGCACCAAAGCTGCGAGGGAATAATACAGGCAGTTCCCATCGCCCCGCACTGGCAAGAACCGGGTTCCGGAAAAGCGGGCCCCGGTTTATTTAGTACATGTACCTGTAAACATTTGAATAAGGTTGACGTAACAGTGATAGTACGTACGGCACATAGTAATTTCATACGGAATACTTACATTACGAATATTTTCAATAATTTTTACTCTATTTGTGATAGCACTTAGTGGACCGCCATTCTTGGGTTGGTAGGTACGCAGCAATTCAGTGTTGCATCCTAAAACAATGGCGATTTTGTTAAAAATGCAAGAACGAGAAAAATACTCCAAATAGTCTATTGGTAAAATCATTCAGAAAGTGAGACCAAGCAATGTAAACCTTGGCAGGGGACCGGGTCTCGCAAACCCGAGTAAAGACTGCTAACCGCTGCGCCTGCGGGACGGCTGCCCAGAACGGCGTCGGCAATAATGACGTTTCGGCAACAAACTGTCACAGAAAAGAAGAAAAGGGGGAAATACTAGACGCGCCTGGGATTCGAAGCCGCGTCACTGAACCGGAGCCGAGCACGCTAACCACTGCGCCACCGGGTCGGTGCACAATATAATAGAAAGAAATGGGGACAATTTCAACCTCTTGTGGCCTAGCCAACCCCAATCTGCATCGGTGACGTGAAGCACTTCAAGAGAGGAGTCCGGCCCCGACGAAGGAGGTGTCCGTTTCTCTTGTGCCATCGTCCCGGAGGTGGCGCTTCTACGGAGGTCCGGCTCCGATGAAGGAGGTGTTCGTCTCCTAGCGTCGTCGCCCCGGTCGAGCCATCTCAAGCGGCATGAGCACTTTGTTTTCTGGTGATCACTGGTCGAGGTTTTTCCTTGCCCTTGTCAAGGTGTTTCCCTGGACCCATTGCTAAATGGGGTCGTATACCGTAGCTTCCCTTGTTACTGCTTGAGCCTTGTTTAGTTTTGGGGTGGTCCTTGTCCTCTTTAAAGAAAAGGAGTAGTTGTAATGTTAGGGCCTTAAACCAGTAGTCAACGTACTGCTGTCATTCTCATGACTGTTCGCCTCGAGTCAGTCTAGTCTCGCAGTGTGTCCCTAGTAACTCCACAACAACCTAGCCGACGCGCTTCAGTCTTGCCTGAGCTCTCGTGCCAGCTAGACGTTCCTTGTACTGAGTATCGTCCAATAAATCCCTTGGTCTCAGCATACTTCTTGTCTTTTCCTTTTAGTACCGAACCTTACAATACCTTGAATCCTCAGCTCTGGTCTGGAGCGTCTCGAGGATGCTGTCACTGTCAAATAGCCCGCACAAAAATGGGCACTTGCTCCTTTTAGCAACTAGTATGCTAAGTGCAAGATAGGAGCCCTTCATGACGAAACGGCTCAGGCCCGACCACTTCCCGCCAAACACCTGGTCCATTCTGACGTCACGGCCTTACTGCCCAGAAGGCGCCCCTCGCTATCGGCAGTTCAGGGTCCGACGAGTAGCCGCTCGAGCCAATGTTGACAAACAGACTCGTTTCACCCCAAAATCAAGAAAAGAACTGGACCATGAGACCCACACCACTCAGTAAGGGCCTCCCCAAGACAACTGAAACTCCAGGGTCAGAACCCGAAGCGATCCCTGTCGATCACTTAACCTCCAAAAGCCTGCTGAGACCGACTAGAAAGGAATCGCCTTTTCCATCACCAAACCTTCGACAGTCAACCGACAACACCCTCCCAGACGAGAGCCAACGATGCCGAGAGACGCAGAACCTAGACCAGCCATGCAGACGGAGATGGAAATGATTAAAGTTAAGTATGATGGTAAAACAACCAAATTAAGATCTTTAGGAACGAGATGGTGTCTTAGATAGGTCTAGTCAGTGGTAGGATGACACCAAGGCAACCTTTTTTCCATCAGGATGGAAGGGTTATTTAGAACAATTAATCTGTGCAAAGCTTTTGTTTGTTTCTCTCTGTTACAGTTCACCACCCCCACTAATTCCTAACTCGGTCGGGTCCTCCAAGTGGTCAGCAAAAGGCGCGTTTAAGTCCCTGCTGCAGAGGGCATCCGTCAGCTTGTCCCTTGGCAAGTCACTGTGAACGGATTTCGACCAAGCCAAATTTCACTTGGGGAAGTTGCTGTAAGTCATGTCTTATGACACACTTGGGACTCAGGACTCTTGTCTTTGGATCTCCACATGGGTGTGGGGAACCACGTGGTACTCGAGAACCCCACGTGGAATTTCTGAAAATAACCATGCGGATTTTTACAAAAACCCACATGGAAAGTAACCAATTACCTCATGGAAAATTAACCACTTGTGAATCTTATAGGAAACCCACGTGGAAAGTCTTCGGAAACCCAGGTGGATTTGTGCGTGGATTTTTCAGCTGGGTAGACTGAGTTAATCCAGAGGACACATTATCAGAATGACAGTCTGGTTTCTCAACGGTGACTTCATTTGTGTTCTCCTAGTTACAAAGAATAATGAACAGTCAATTGGGCAATTTAATAAATCAGCTTAACACATGTAGAAGCAATAACTACCTGGTGCTCGCTTGAGGCTTCAATACCATTCTGTGGTGTAATCATAGGCATTTCAGTACTTAGAGCCGCTGCGGCCTTCTTCTCTTCCGTCATCCTTTTGGCGGCTTTCTTCGCCTGGAAGTGGGCTGAAACAAACAATACTAATTGTAGACATCGTAACTGCCATTTGAAGCAGATGAAATAGCACTACTTACTTTCTTGTGAAGCTCGGACATCAATTCACGCTGTTTGAGAGCTGACTTGCGAGGCATTTCCTCATGAAAGCTGTCCTCCTTTGACACTCGATTCTTCTTCCCCTTATCTATTTCAGACAACACTTCATCCTCAGAAGCTGCAACAAAAGGTTCAATATTTAGAATTAAGTTGACATAAGTAACGTTGATGGTGGACTTAGTCTCGTGAGGCGAGTCGCTTATCACGGTAAGGCCTCAGCTGGGGTATCTGCGCCTCAGAGGTTTTATGGGACTAAGATTTGAAGCGACTTAGGCAAGCTGCTGAGGCGTCTCACAAGGCGACTAGCCTCACGAGACTAAACCCACCATAATGGCGCGTTAGCAAAATAAACATTCATTTACAACTTTAAATGAAGTTTGAAATAAATGTAGAGTAACGAATAAGCCTAGCATGTCAGAACGCATGGTTAAAGAAGGCACGGAACATAGGTTAGAGCACATGGCCATGAGCAAGTGGAAAGTTCGACCGCTCAAAGAACTTCGGCCGATGCAGATAACAATTGGTGTGGAATGAATGAATCGGATTGCTTACCTGAGATAAACATCACTCGCCCGGACTTTGTGTGATGGTTGTAGTTCAAGGTCAGTTCTTCATCCACTTGCACGCTGCTGGGATCAGCGGTCTTCAGATCTTTGGTAGGCACACAATACGAGGAATCTTTGCACATAATAAAGTAGAATAATTTCTTTGGTTTCGTCATGTTTAAGCATCGATTGCAATAGATGAAAGTAGCTGTGCGGGTCAGGGCAAGAGCCGTCACATTTAAAAATCAACTGTCTTTGAGTCATTTTGTCTTCTGTTCTTGACAAAAATAAAATATTTATCTTGTCACCTTGAACCATACAAAAGCAGTTCTCCCGAGGGGTGGATAACTCCTGAATTGGGTGTACAAATTTCAAGAATTTAATTTGAATTGGCTTGGATTGAGTTCGAATTGGACTGAGTTGGTTAAATTGTTTTTGAATTGGCTTGAATTGACTTGAATTGAATGTAAATTGTCTTGAATTAGACTGAATTAGTTGAATTATTTCTGAAGTGAGTTGAATTAAATTAAATTGATCTGAATTGGTTTGAAGTACTAGAATTAGGGGTGTACACTTGGCAGGGGAGTTATCAACCCGTCGAGTTCTCCTTTACAAACAAATCCACTTTAACTTTCACTTCCTGCAGCAATGCATTTCGACGCATCCGTGCAACAGTGGCGAATCTGTTTAGGACGGACGAACAAGGGCGAATCTGTGAAGGACGGACGAACAAAGGCAAAACTGTTAAGGACGGACGAACAAAGGCGAATGTGCTTTTTCAGAATTTCTGCACACCTATCTTTAGACGTGTCTCACTTCTTGATTTGACGTCAGATCACTTTGAACGAAGCATCATTGCACCCGTCATTGAGCCTTCAATAGAACACGACCTGAACTGAAGCGATCCGACGTCACATCAAAGAGTATGAAGCGTTCAAAGATAGGTCTGCGGGAATTTTGAAAAAGCACTCTCAGATTCGCCCTTGTTCGTCTGTCCTTCTCAGATTCGCCCTTGTTCGTCCGTCCTAAACAGATTCACCAGTGTTGCACGGATGCGTCGATTTCTTCTCCCTAAACTATGTAATAAATAAATAATAAAAGTAAAATTAATTTTATTAAATTATTTGATACTCTATTAGAAGTAGAAAAAAAATTACCTTCAATGAGTAACGCCCTGTAACATCTAATTGAGGCACTTTAAATAGTTCAACAGGAGAATAACCATCATTTCTGCTTGTTGGTGGACTCGTGAGAAAATCACTAGCACTTGATGAGGAATCAAGCGAAGGACTCTCGGGCAAAATAATATCTCCAAGCCTGAAGTCAGCACTTGAGCTCTGTAATACATAACATAATATTGTATTATTCTATTCATTCATTTGAATGCAACTTGTTTTTGTGAAGATACTTACTGGAGTTGAAACCACATGAATAGGATCAGTACTTGGTGAAGGGGATGAGGCTGCAACATTACTGAGGGAAACAACTGAGGGATCCGGAGAGGCAAAAGAACTGTCATCATCAAAATTGAGGTTCACAGACTCAGCGACTGATGAGGCTACTCTTGGGGGACGGCTTGGTGATTCACTGCATTCCTGTGAAATTAAACTGTTACTGAGAACCTAAACTTTCCCAAACAAAGGATGGTCTGCACTTTTACTATTATTGCTCACTGATTCTGAAACGGGCTGAGCACTGTCAAGACTTGACACTCCCTGATCCCCCAATTGCAATGCCTTCTTATTTTTTTCTGCAAACCCTTGTCTTTGACTTTTTTGTGCTTAAAGTGTTAACGTCTGGCTTTGGGCGGCATGATAACTGTGTGCAAATTACAAGGTAGATGTACGCCAGACCACGTCTCGCGTAACAGGCTTCGCGATATCTCACGAAACACTGTTACGCTGCGACGCGCCTGGCATACACCTTGGCCTGCGGCGCTGACACCCGAGTCGGGTAGAGCAAAAATGTACTCAAAGATTCGGACCTCCGGCCCGTCAACCCCGTCACTTAGACTAAGCATGCAGGGTTGTACATTTTTTCGCTTATTTTCGTCAAAAAAACCTTCTAGCGCCTCAACGGTTTGAGCTAGAGCAAAACGGACAAAATTTTCGCCCGTTGGGCTCTCCTTTGATGAGTTACCCCTTAGGAAACCATAAAAAAAATATTTTTAAAAAACGTCATTTTTGGGACCTGTTGTTTTTGATTTTTTTAAAATCCAATTTTTGAGCTAGAATGCTCATCTTCGAACTCGATCTGTCTTTTTATGATACAAAACGACCCTGAAAATCCCAGGTCGCTCGCTCAATTCGTTTTCGAGTTTTCGTGCGGACAGATACACAGACAGACAGACAGACACACAGACAGACAGACAAAAAGTTTTTTCCGACCAGACGGAGTAATAGGCTTCGCTAATCGCTCAGCCAACAAAAGGCTCGGAAATGTTTAGCAACATTGTAGACAGCAAGACAGCCAATTCGTAATTGACGTGGTAAGTGACGCACAAATTAATAAAGAACAGAGCATTTACTCACCAAGAAGTATTAAATTCGTCCTACTTCAATTACTATAATTCCCGTTCGAAAGACTTGTTTGTTTCCAAGCATACACACACCGTCTCGCTCTCGCTGATGAGCCGACGGACAGCTCACGCGGACAGTGGCTACGGACTACATGAGGACAATTTGAGGACATGTCCACTGGTATGTCCATGAGTTGTCCGTGGCCCCAGTCCGTGGATTGAAACGTCCGTGGACTTGTCCGCAGCTGTCCGCAGTCCGAGATCCTATCCGTGGCTCTGTCCGCCATAGTCCGCAAACCTGTCCACGATGATTGTCCGTGGAGCTGTAGCTGTCCAGGATGGTTAAAGGAAATTTCGATGGAATATGCTGTCCGTGATCGTGTCCGTGGCACTGTCCGCAGTCATCTGAGATCCTATCCGTGGCTCTGTCCGCAATGGTCCGAGAGACTATTTGTGGCACTGTCCGCAATTCAGTCCACGAGGTTTGTCCGCGTTACAGTCCCGAGCTGTCCGGGATGTTTGAACGAAATTCCATAGAAATCTGTTGCGTTCAGCAAGGTAGCATTGAGTGACCGTGATGACATCACGATCTTCGGTTCAAAAATTGCCGCCCTCCCGCCCTCTGGTGGCGATGGAGGACTCCGGGCGAACCGGACAGAGGGCGGGCGGGCTGATGGACTTAGTGTGAAGAGGTTGGATATGACCACCGCGAGTTGGTGTAATACGTCATATGACAAACAATTTAAGAGTTGACTAGATAAAGGACAAGTGTGGACAGCCTAAGTACCCCTTTCTCCACCCACAGATTACACAAATGAACTAGTTAAAAAGACTTATTCACGTACAAATGACTTATTTAAAACTTTGATGTGTCAAAATTCCGAAGCGCCATCTAGTGTTCGGGTGGTTGAACTCATCTCAGTCCACAAATGTCCACAAGTGTACGTGGGTATACTATGACGGTATGCAACAGCTCGGTACGTAAAATTACAGACGAGTCGATGGACAACTCGTGAACATGTCGGCCGACATGGCACGAACGTCATGATGTGCAAGGCAATGGACATGTCGATGGACAACTAGCGGACAGTCCTACGGACCAGTCCTGTGGAACGGTCCATAGACATTTGGTGGTCATAGGTAACGGACAGATCTATGGACAGACGAGCCGTGGTGGACAGCTGCGGACACATGCAATGGACGTTTCAAACGACGGACTGTAGTTATGAATGCAGACTGAACCGAGGACAGGTCATGGACTGGTCCTCGGACAGACTGATGGACACAATAGACACGGTGGACAGTTGGGGACTGCACAAGGACAGCCACGGACATATGCGGACCATTCCACGGACTGTCCATCGGCTCATCAGGGCTGTTGTTGTCCGCGGGGCGGGTGCGGGGTGGAGGTGGTGCGGTGTGGTAGGAGAGTCGTCGCGGCGCGGAGGCAGCGCGCCCTGCGGCCGGCTGGCGAACTATCGCCGCCGCCACGCCGCGACAGTGGCACGCGGCAACTTTGGCGGGTGGCGGAGGGGCACCCGTCGCGCTGGGGCCAAAGCCGATCGGGTATGGCCATTCCTTGGTACCTCACCTTTCATTTGAGCCCTCACGCGCGCACGCCGTCCTCCGCCACCAGGACCTCGTTCGTTCGTCCTGTCTGTTGCCGCCATCGTCGCTGTGGTCCCGAAGTCTAGGGCCACTACGGAAGTAGGGGTCGTGCGATGTCCCACGGAGGCTCGCGCGCGTGTGCGTCTGCGTAGCGGAGAGGGTTGGAGCGAGCACTGGCAGCTGAAGCCTCTCGCGGATCAAGCGCCGTCCTCACCCAGATTGGCCCCGCGCCGCCCAGCGCCGCCCCGCGGCGTCTGACTTGACTCGGCGGCGACGCACCTGCACTCGAAGCCCGACTTGTCCTGCTCCCTCTCGTCCTCTCTTACCCTTACCGCTCACTTCCAAGCGTCCTCTTCGCCCCGCGGACGTGCTCACCCGCCGTATCACTTCTAGCCGTGACCTCCACGTCAACGACGTCAGCCATCTGCCCTGGCCGCCGTGGTTGTAGCCTCCATGACGCGACCTAGCGCCGTCCCTGCCAGCCCCCGTTTCATGTGCGGCGAACTATTTTACCGTAGGGCCCCGTGCGTTAACATTATGCACGGGGTAGCTGAGCAAAGTGCATTAAAATAACAGAAGACGTAAAAAATATAAAATTAAACCATAACGAATGAGGGTCCACCTAGTATGTGGGCAACTAGTTCCCTGCTCCTAGAACGTAAGAGATTGGGGGGGGGGGGGGGTCGCTTCCAATTATTCCGTCTCTATCGTGAGCCATCTAAGGGATAAGGAATTTGTCTCAAGACCCCTGTATGTGCATTTCGGCAACTTACCGTGACCCTCCCCTACCTTCCCCGAGGGGTACTTCACTATAAATTCAAGCATACAGAAATTTTTCTTCTTTTCTCTGATTTATTTCCCTGCGATTATCCTTTTATCTTTCTGATGTTTTTCTGTGTTTTTTTTACTAAGTTTTTTTTATTTTGTGTATATTCAAAATATCCGAGGAGTTATAGCCCTCCAAAGATGCCTGACGTTCCATCGCCGAAAAGCAGATCGAACTCTTTTGGTTTGGCAGCAAAGCAGATCGAACTCTTTTGGTTTCGCTGCAAAGCAGATCGGACTCTTTTGGTTCAGCAGCAAAGCAGATCGGACTCTTTCGTTAGGGCGCATCGACTCGTGAATTGTCGATTCTTAGACAAACACTCTTTTTGCTGTCCGTGCAGCACATTTTAAGGAGACACGGAATGTTACGCACAGACAGACAGACTCACGACGGAGACATCGCCTGACCCCTCAGCGACTTGGACTGAGCTTCGCTCAGCGATAATCCTCACCTTGTTTTGTTTTATTTGCAGGAGGATTACAAGATGCCACTGCTCTTGACCCTTTGAGTCCACCCTTCAAACCGGCGGAACTGGAGAGCCACCTCAGAACACTGCCGGATGTCCCCACTTCGGAAGAAGTGCATCACACTGTCAGGCGTCTGCCGTGCCTGGCAAGCACACACGGATTATGACGTATGATATCGCTTTCGATTTAACTACATGTAATATTGTTTACCTATTAAGGGCTCATACTATACAACTTTTTTCCAGGTGGAACTTGTTAAAGGCATTCCTGTCTTCATCAATACGTTTGTGTTAGCTACGCTTCATCGACAATATGCCAAAAAACCTGGTTCCTACTTGTCTAATTTACTCACCGAGTTAGTGCCCTCCGGGGTACAACGGCTTCCCTATCTTACCGCTGTAGGAAAGGGTACCACAAAAATTGGGCTAGGAAGCTGCAAGCTCTTAATGGTACGTCTGGCTCAAAATTAATTAATGTTTAAGTTGCTGCAACGCATTTAAGAAAACTTCTGATGTACAGAGCGTTCCATTTACCCCTTGGATAGAGTAGTGGATGCAGGTGGCTGATTAACCCGCTCACTTCTGTAGTTACGCTGTACCGCACGCGCGAGTGCGGGCTGCAGGCGGGCGTGGCGGGCTTGCCTATCGCCCCTCTCCGCGGCAACATATAATATAAAATTGACATTAAAACAGGAGTAAAACAATTAAGAACTTTTGTTAGTACTTGTCAAAGTGTTACAAACAATGCCTCAAGAGGGGGAAACAGAAAATCAGTTGCAACATACTAAACTGAAATAATGAATAGAAGTAAAAGAACTTTGTTAGTAGTAGTCAAAAAGTCACAATAATGCAACAAGGGAAAAAAACCAGTAGCAAACATAGGCTAATTATTGTCTGTAGAGTGTGACTTATTATTCATGTTCATTCTGATGTTCTCAAAGTCTTGAAGTTGTTTGTTAAGGGTTGCGGATGTAACGGCTTTCGATGTAATTCACAACGTACCTGCAACAGCATAAGCCTAGTGGCGTACAGCAACTTCACCAAAATACACACAATATTTCGTCCCTTTCTCAAATTTGTCAGGGTCGAATGGCTCATGAGTATTCTCGTCGATCCAACGATACAATAAAGTTGACCGAATTGGATAAGCTTTGTTGGTCTGTAGATTTTTGACGTATACCCACATGCAATTGTCCCCCGGCATTGTACAAGAGGAGAGCCTTAAATTGATTGCAACCTGTCGAACAATAGGGTATTCCAGGCTCTCCAAAACGGAAGTAGGAAAAGAACAAACTCACTGACTTTTCTGTTTCCGTGATGACTCTGATTGGTTGAGCTGATCACGTGCCCCGACGGCGTTTAAGGTATGAAAAACTGTCAGGTCAGTT